TTTATTAACTCAAAATATTTATGAAAATTATCAAATATACTAAAAGGTAGCCTATACCCCCTCCCCTCCTTTCCCCTGTTAAGCCAATGTTTAACTATTTTATATATCATTATAACTACATTTTTTTATCGAATAGTTCTATCTCTATTACCTAGCTTCGGTGAAACTAAGTATAAAATATATATTATCAAATATTAACTCCAGAGATCTCATATGATACACTAATTTAACTTACTTCAGACCTTAACAGGGTTCTGTAAAATTTAATCAGCTATAATTATGGCTGTGCTTCTCAGCAATAGTTTAGTTTGAAAATATCGACGGGTATGTAAGTAACTCAAGCACTTCCAAACCCCTATACGCCAGTGAGGATATTACTCCTCCCATCCCTCATTCTATCTACTCCCTCCTATACCCTCCACCCCTCATATCCCCCCCCCATGAAATAAATAAATATATAACTTAATTCAAATCAAGATTAGAAAAAACAAAATTAACAATAAATGAAAAAGAAATTAAAATTATAAATTCTTTCCAAGATTCTGAACCCAAATTAAGAAAATATTACGCTCTTTTTATAAGATATGATAATGGAAACTTAATAAGGACCGATTTTCTGAAAAGGGTTTGAAATCGCCTCGATCCGACAATATGATTCTATGGGTTACTCAATAAATCAGTCCAATCTAGGTCTGTGTTCTCAAATTGACGAAACATTTAAAACTTTTGAAATTTAATCCCCCCCCCCCTCCTAGGTATAAAGTGTTTTGGAATCTCATATATATTAGGTCTAGCAAAATATATGGAATAAAATGTTATCTACATTAACGAAATTCACTCTGGGTATTTCATTTCATACAAATTAACCCGAACTCGTGCCTAATTTTTTCAGAACTTATTATGGTACCCCAGGTATCAGTTTTATTTTCTCACCTCATTTATAACGTTTGTTCCGGATTGTTCCTAAGAATATTTTTTCCCCGTGATTTTTTATTGAACTTTTTTTTCCTTTAATTTGCCTTCGGATTTTTTCCCTAAGGGTTTTCTTCCAATTATTTGTAATCCATCTAAAATTATCTAATACTGCATTGTAACAAAAATATATATTAATTTTTATAACGACTACATTTATATTTCTTATTTTAATCACTCTAAAGTATATTGATTAATTAATTTAATAGATATAAGCAGACTTCATTTACCATTTGGCAACGAATAATATATATTAATCTATAACTCCTAAATTCGAATATTTAAAATGATTTTGTCATAAATGCTTTATCACTTAATCCTATAACATAAGTGTTTAGTTTGTTCGTTAATTATAATGATTTATCAATAAAATAAAATTTAATTTTAATGGGTTATACTTTTTTTTTCATTTACTGCTTACACATTTTTTAGAGGATCTTGTTATTAGTAGTGAATTACTCAATCAGTAAAATGATTTATATATGCTTATTAACTGTCCCATTAGCAAATCAAGTTGATACAATAGTCATGCAAAATTACGATATAAGTATCTATATGATTTTATTGATCTTGTTATAGTCAAATGTTCCATATGGGCTAAAAATAAAGAATTAACAAGTTGATATATAAATTTTCATCTAGTAAGAAAAAAAAATAAGTTATAATTTAAAAAAAAATATGTGCAAAAAATAAACAACGAACGAAACAAATCATTTTTAAAAAAATAGCCAATCAAATCAAACATATTAAAAAGCTTACATTTTTATTTGACATTCATTTTTGTTGGTAATTCAAGTACTATTCTTATGCAAAATTTTATATAGTTTGTCATCAGGGCCTACTTTAAACCGAAGTCACGAATATCCAGTTCCAACATTTCATATGTTTAAGACCATTTATAAATAAATTTTAATAATATAATGAAATTACATATTATATCACTCTTCTTTAATCAAATCAATGTTTTGCGTTAGTTATGATGTATATATAACTTTAAAACTCTGCACGGAAATATCTGGTCTATCCAGAGTAGCGTTGGGTGGACTTGGACAATTTCTTTTAAAATCTGGCGAATGGATGAACTCGGACTTAATTTTTTTTTAATTGATTGCACTCACGCCTGATTATTTTTTTTCTCATTTATTGTGTTCAAACTTAAATTTCAAATCTAAAGCATTTAAAAATTATTTTTTATTAAGATATGCTACAATCTGAGCGGACAAGTTCAAGTTCAGGCCAACTCAACCTCGAATCTACTTTAAAAAGAAAATAAATGAAACAAAAGAAAATTCTAATATACGTTACTCATTGTGATGGTACATCATTTATGTTTGCAATAACTCAAGTGAAATCACAAACATTTTCAAACAGGTATAGGTGTATCGTGGGGGTGGGGTTAAGCAGACAATTGAAATTGTGAAATTCAGAAAAAAATTGTAACTGTTTTTTTATCAATTTTGACCGATGTGCTTTAAGAAATTAATATTATAGAGGAGCCAGGACTAGTCGGCGCAAGGGGATTGTCGGTTCAGCGGATTTTATTAAAAAATTAGACACGTTTAGAAATTCAAATTTAATTATGTAATAGCATTGTATAATATGTAAATGTATATTTGAGACAAAAAAATGCTATTTAAATTTTTTTATGATAAAATGTGATTTTAGGTAAAAATCAAAATATTTTTACACCACTATATTAGGTGGCATTAAATATGAAGAGTTTAAAAATAATAAATTTGACATTATATGAAATTTAAAACCCTCTTTTCGCATTTCAGAAAGTTTCATAATCACCTACCATGTTTAAATCTATTTTAAATGTTATTAATTATATTAGTAACTAGGGGCTAAGAATCAGGGCTAGTTCTAGTTGGATCCATCCAATTATGCTTACAAATATGATATATTATAATATAATAATATAAAATAAGAATTTATTGGCCACTATTATACATTTAAATCAATTCTATATGATAATACAATAGAATTAGGACAAAATAAAAATAAAATATCATAAATTTTACAATTCAAATATGTCATATTTTGTCATTTTTTTATGAATTATTATGTAAATGGTATATTTATATCAATAAAACATTGTTCATGAAAATAATGGATTATTAATATTAATTATCCTATGGGAGACTTATGAATCTACAAGCCTCAGGTTTGGTACTTGTTGGCACAAAAAAATCACTTTTACTAGAATCAATCTTGAGAAAAAAAGTATAAAATAATATTAAAATTTATCTATATATAAGGTTAAGCAGATGTTTGGGCTATCTTATGGTATTATGTATCACAACAATTATTTTTGGACCTATGATGATTTTGATAAAGATAGTGCCGACTAGCCCTGATCTCCCTTACACTATTTTTGATTTTTTTCTTATTGAAAATTATATATTGTAAATTTAAATATTACCCATCATGGCTGTTGTTTAAATATGAATTTCATCATAATTAATTTCTAGATAATTTTTTTGAATATTCTAAAATAGTCGATACACATAGTTTTATTGGTCATCTTTCTGAATCTGGGTTTGTGAATATAAGGATTTATTCTTTTTTTTTCTATAAAGTTATTTACGCAAATTTCTTCTCCCAAATGAAAATTGGAAGAGTAACTTTTTTTTTAATTTGGAAATCTCTTCGGTCTTTTTAATAAGATATATGTGCCCTTATGACTCACTCTATTATTAAATAGAACGTGCCCAGGAGGGGCATAAAAGTATCCATTTCAATAAAACAGGCCGGTTGAGGTTGGCGGCTTTCTCTATAATTTGGCATTTTAATAGCGCTTCAAAAAGTGACAGGTGAATTACAATTTTATCAAATTTAAATACAATTCTGATTTGCCCATTTATCTTGGACGGGCAATTTTGCTAGTTACATTTATAAAAAAAATCTCTAAATATTTAGCATAATGTAATACTAATAGCACTACATCATTTAAAATATTATGAGATTAGAATATTAAAATGATATCATTTCATAAATAAATTTGATGTATAAAAAAATTATCAAAAATGTAATTTTGCTATTAATATTCAATTGAATTGGAAGAATCAAATTTTGTATAAAATTTAATATAAAAACATAATTATAATATATTAAAATTAATCCTTATATAGAAGTGGTTTGATTTAATTTTAATAAAATCACAAATAAAATGCTTGCTATGTCCAAAATATCAAAAAATAAAATTTGCAAACTTTCAAAACTATTTCGAAAAATAAACTTTTTTAAATACAAAAATAAAAACATGTCCTGTTTTTAATGTTGTGAAGAGAAATCTAATTCTCTCTTTTCTCCAGACTATTTTGGACCTATTTCTTCAAGCTTGGTCAGAAATTTATATTTTAGACTTTCTGCTAAATTTGAAAAAAAGCGACATTTTATTCAGACACTTTAAAATTGAACAATCCAAACTATGTTTTAGTTCTATACTTTTTGAATTTATCAGCTTTAAACTATATTATGGAACCGTTTTCCCTTCTTTTTAGTTGATGAAATCTTTGCGATAGTATAATTATTAGGCTACAGCTGGTCTAATCGAAACGGGTGAAAAGCTGACAAAAGACTCGGAGAATTTTTGCTAATTGTTTCGATGCGATTTTATAATTAATTGATCATCAATATTTTCAGTAGTTATAACGATAAGATAATGTAATAAATTTATATCAAATCTTAAATGTTTATATTATTTGGAAATACACCTTTGATCTTGATCTATCCTGGTTATATAAATAAATCCATTTTTTAAAAAATGTTATAAACGATTGTTTTTAAAATATTTTTGGAAATTAAAATAACATATATTTTTATAAAATCGTTCGGTATATTTCTTTAAACCAGTATAAAGCCAATTTGTTATATATTTCATCACAATGACGACTTATATACTAATTATAATAGTAAATATTACCCTTTAAAAATTATCGATAAAATTTTAAAAAAAATAATAATTTCTGTATAAATTATTGTTTTAAAATATTGTATATAAAAAAATTTATTCGTGGAAAAAATAGTTTTATAAATTTTTTTATATTATAACCAAACAAAATCCTCTTTAACTTAAAAACACTGGTGTATTATTCCGTAATGACACAAAGAAACAATTATTTAGTATTCTATTTAATCATCTCATCATTTTGTTTTACGATGTTAATTTGCTTCGAGTTCCCGCAGACAGATGCCGATGACCATAGCTCTTTAGTTAGAAAGTTACTCAAGTCTAAAAAATTTCGATATGATCAAAGTGATCAAAATGGCGAAGATTTAGCAGATTTGACTGAAGATATGGTAGGAAACGGGTATCTTCCAAATGGAAATAACTGTCACGAACCTTGCAATATTGGTAAATTGTTGAAAATTGTGAAATTATACTTATATTAGTTTGTAAAATATTTTGATTCTCCAAGCATTATTTAAAAACTTTAAAATTTATCAAATTTTCTACCTCTTAAATATGGCTCGTTTTACAGAATTATATAATAGACTATTGAAATTTATTTTGAATTACTGTATTTTGATAATTAACGAATAAATTTAACCAATCCAATCTGATTATAATTTTATTATATTTAAATTAATTGTTTTAAAAAAATGTGTGTTAAAATATATGATCTTAATTTCTGCATTAATAAACACTTAATAAATTAATATTTTTTCCTTTTCGCTTTTACTATTGAAAAATAATTTTGACGCCCTGGTGTGATATCTATTATACCTACTTATCTAACATGGGATTTAGGTTTTGGAAACAAGACAATATTTTTGTTGTTCTCTGCCCTAATTCCTTAAAAAATTAAAAATTTCTTGTGGGCTATTGGTACTAGAGATCTTCAAAAGTAGACCTGTTATTTTTCAAAAAGAAATCAAGGGCTGGGTCAGGCCTAATATTTATTAAAAAATATTCGGGCCTGGTCGGGTCGGGCTTTGGAATTTTTTTTAATATATCTAAATTTATCAATTTTATGTTGAATTTTTATGATTTTATTTTTAGAAACTAGACGCCATATAACATATATCTTTTATTTTGAGTAATATTAAAAATTAATTTCTATATTTAAATATTCGGGCCGGGCCTGCAAAACTTTTTAAAAAAATTTCGGGCTTGGTTGGGCTTAAAGAATTAGGCCCAATGCATATCACTAATTAGTCTCTTCCGTTCTTAGATTAATAGATATTATCGTTAAATTCAATTTTTATATTTCAAAATATTTATAGAATTTAGAATTTTTTATGAGAGCCTAGAAAATTCAGAAACCTCCGGAACCTATAACAGAGAATTTTTAGGATAACATTTCCGTTCTTTCTATTGTTTTTCTTGAATATGACATTTTTTGTTTTCTTGAACGTTTTAAATCCATAACTTATTTTCGCTTTTTAAAATTTCATATAGCAGTGATAGTGAGATCTTTCTATTAAAAAAGAATGGCAATGAATAGATTTTCATTTAAATTTTGTTTAAATTTTCATTTAAAATCGATCCCCTTAATATTTCATTATTTCATGAATATTTATATTTTTTTCTGTCATATTATTTACTTTCCATAATTAGAATTTGAATATTAAAAAAATATTCTATTTTATAATATTAAATATATATATTTTAAAAATTAAGATATAACGAACATTGTGCCTGATAGTATATATATATGTTGTATTCCATATCAAATCAAAGTTTCAACCCCACCCTCTTCGATAAAATTTGTATGATGGTAGTATATACATACACTAACTAAAAAATATAAAATTTTAAATGGCATTCATAAGATATGACCATCTTTAGGTTAATGTTATTCAGTGTCCAGAAAATAAAAACGCGAATTCTAAAGTACACTATATTTAACTTTAAATACCTCAAAAGTTAATTAAGCTAGAAATATATTTTAAATTTTATTAAATATCTCTCAAATAGCCCTTTAATATGATATAAAATTTATTTTATTAAAAATAAGTCTATTTACCAAAAGCCGGAAATAGCTATAAAAAGAAAATTCTTCTTTTTTCTTTCATATTTTTTTTTATAGATAGACATTACACTTCTTTATACATGTGTAAAATTCTAGACTGGAGATTTCACACCTTAAATATTAACAATATGGCTAAAATCGTAAAATAAATATAATTTATATAAAATTGTAATTTTTAAAATTTTTAAAATAAATAGAAACTTAAAATTTAGACATGTAAAAAAAATAGATGGGTTGACATTGGAGATCTCTGGGTTGAGCCGAATATTTAAAAAAATATCGTATCAGGTCTTAAATTTTGAAATGAAATTAATATATTTTAAAATTTTTGCAAGAAACAAGTAGCCATTATTTTTAATTTGTTTGTAGAATGATGATAAACTCGATTTTGTTCCGGGTAATGCAAATTTTTTTATAATTTCTACATATATATAAATTCGAGCCGGGGACAAATAATTCTTATTTCGGGTCGGTCTTTTATGTTTGTGATAGGGCCATCTTTTTTTATAAAAATTTCAGGCTTGGCTTGAAAATATAGGTCCAGTGAAGATCATTAGTGGACATTATATCGTATTTAGAATAAGTTTAGCTATTTTATTTTCGAAAAAAAATAATTATAAAAACATTATATTTAGCTAGTTATTTATAATACATGAAAATCAATGGCATATAGTAAACATATAAATTAAATAATTATTTTGAAAGTTTTATATACATATCTATTTCTTTTTTATGATGTTAGTTTATTTTAGTTCAGTTCTTTCCTAATTGGCCTAATTTTCGTTTCAGTCTAGGATTTTGTACAAGTATTAGGGAGTATAAGTCTATCTGAAAATTTTGAAAGAAAAAGAAGCAGTTTTCTTTTTATAGCTATTTCCTGTTTTCTATTTCTGAATTTTGGTAATAGACCTTTTTCAATAAATTACATTTTATATCATATTAAAGGGCTATTTTAGAACAATTTAATAAAATTTAAATCATGTTTTTAGCTAATTATTTCTTGAGATATTAAATTAATTGAAGTGTATTTTCACATTTTGGGGTTTTTAAAGATAGGCATATGTCAAAAAGTAAGCCGATTTGAAAAGTAAAATTTTACATTTTTATTAGTGTTTCTGTTTATACTACCAACCATGAATTTTGAAAAAAAATAGAAGGGAGGTCAGGTTGAAAATCTACTCTTTTTAGTTGATTTAATATGGAATACAACATATATATATATGCATATATTATATCCCTGTAAAACCTTTTAAAATAAGCTATTTAAAACTTTACTTAAAACAAGACTAATTATTATTAGGGATAATTATGATTTCATCGATATTAAACATGTAGAATATTATACTGAAAAAATTTAAAATTATTATAACAAAATATTTGAAAATAGTTGATGTTATCCAGATGCAAATTAATTTCCCTAAATGGGGAGTATATTTTTATAAGATTTAGAAGGAGTGATATTTATAAAAAGATAAATGAAAAATTTTATAAAGTCATATCTTACCTATTGTCAAAATTAGAACCCACTATTTTCTCATTTCTAGTGAATATCATTTATTCGTTTGTGTTTCTACAAACCAATTTTTCAATGTAGTTAGTTTTCTCATCATATGTCAATTCAATACTCGTATTATCACTGTTTGTTTATCAACGTCAGTGCTCTATTGAGACTCTTCTATAAGTGGGGGGGGGGGAGTGTGAGCATAAAAAATTGATATATTAGGGAATTTTGTTATTATCTAATCGGCATCATCTAAGGACGGGAGCGGAGGAAGGGTAAAGTTTAAAACCTGAAATATATTTAAATACTTTCATATATAATGTTCCAATATTCGATGTGAGCTAATAATTGTATAAAATTATCGCAATAAAAATGCATTTCCCAGATAGATTACAAATCTTAAACTGATTAAAATCCCATTCTCATTTACATGATCTGGTTATAAAATGAGTTAATAAATTATCATTTATATCCACTTTAATATATTGATATGTAAGATTCTGCAAGGGTAAATTAATTCTGGATAATGAGCAAAATAATTTCTATATGAGTCGCATACATTGAATTAATTGGTTTATTCCAAATTATGTAATTCTATAAAACAGTTAAAAATTGTTTTGATCATCCTATGCTATTTATTCGTTAAAGTTGGACTTTATTTTTAAAAATATCTGGATAATTGACTGTATAATTTAACATAGTATGAGTATATTACTTTTAAAATCAAAAATCCATTCATCACATCAATCCATACCCAGAATTGTAATATGATAATTAACAATAGTAGTATGTTGTTTGATGCACCGATTTATAGAGATTTAAAGGTAAATATAAACATAAAATCCTCACTGGTTATTAAGTTACGCTTGTTCCAAATAAATGTTGGCTACAAATCGTGTCTGTAGTTCTAATTAAATTAAGAATTCATGGTGTTATATTTTTAATGCGTAATGCATTAGTTATTTGTGATTCAGATTGATTATGGAAGTTGAAAACATGTATAATTTAAAAAATTAAAAATTTCTAAAAATAATTTTTTTTTTGTAAAATTAAAAACAACGAAAAATTATGTGAATAAAATGCTATTTTAATTTAAAATTAATTATCACATGAAATTATTTATTTTATATAACTTGTTCTTTAGAATCAGGAATTCTTTTTGTCATATATAAGTCGCAGGCTCGTACGCAGTAATTTAATCATGGGGGATGGGGGGGGGGGGGGGGTAAACAAATTTTTTAAGAAATATCATTGAGCATAAATTTATTAGGACTAATAACTTTTTTAATACACAATTTTAAATTAATGATTATAAAAAAATTATATATATAAATCGGCATATAAAAAACTATAAAAAATGTGAATTAAAAAATATTAAACGGATACTGGCGGCATTGAAAAACTATAAAATAAATGTGAATTATAAAATATAAAGTGAATATAACCACCATATGAATCACTTAAATGACCCAAAATAGAAATTTGAATTTTTTGAGCCTTTAAAATTTATATATAAAGTATAAAAAATTTAAACGTTGGAATTATAAATTAATACACAAATTTCTTAGGAATAATTGAATTTTGCATGTTTTGAGCTAATTTTTTAATTATCTCATCCTTGCTTGGCGTTAAATGCCTATGAATATTCAAAAGATCCAAACCATTTAATCTACTTTCAGAAGTTTTACTTCATAGGTATGTTTTTCAGAGACTTGCAGGCCCGGCCTCCTGTATTTTAATTTATTTAAATATACCCGGGCCGGGCCCGAAATATTTTTTAAAAAGCCTGAAAATGTATATAAAAAAAATATCCGGGCAGAGCTATATATTTTAAAACCAAATATTTGAAATCGCCATTATTAGCTATAAAAATCAAAA